TGGGTGAAGGCAGCAGCACACAACTCTGCCATCCCAGTGGCTCAGGCTTTTCAGTCAACATCCCAGCGTCTTCAGGGAGGGTCTGACATGGACATGACCCAGTGAGTGATGTGGAATAGGTGAGGCACCTTTCACCTGCTTGGTGGTTTCTCTCCTTCCTTCCTTCCTTCCTTCCTTCCTTCCTTCCTTCCTTCCTGCCTGCCTTGCTGCCTTCCTTCCTGCCTTCCTTCCATCCATCCTTATTTTGTTTTGTTTTTCTCGGACTTAAACCAAGGACTTCAAACATTCTCTCTCTCTCTTTCAGTCTTTTTGAGACGGTCTCTCTGTAGCCCTAGCTGGCCTGGAACTCACTATGTAGACCAGGCTGACCTTGAACTCACAGAGATCCTCCTGCCTTTGTGTCCAGAGTGCAGGGACTAAAGGCATGTACCACCACACTTGACGGTTTCATTCTTTTAAAAAAAATTGATTTTTATGTATATGAATATTTTGCCTGCATGTAAGTGCACCAGTGCCATGCAGTGCACAAAGAAGTCAGAAGAAGGCATCAGATCCCCTGGAACTGGACTTATGGATGGTTGTTAGCTGCCATGTGGGTGCTGGGAACTGAACCTGTGTCCTCTGCAAGAGCAGCCAGTGCTCTTAACTGCTGAGCCAGCTCTCCAGCCCTGGTGGTTTCATTCTTAACACTATAGAACCAGGAAGATCACAAGTTCAAGGCCTGTCTGGGCTATGGAGTGAATGGACAGCCCTGGGATTACTTAGGGAGACTTTGTCTCTAAATAAAAAGTAGAAGGGAAAAAAAAGCTAGGAAGGTACCCTGGTAGTAGAGTGCTTGCCTAGCACCTGTACCTCAGTGGTAGAGTGCTTGCCTGACATCTAGCATGTCTAGCATCTCTGAGGCCCTGGTTTCAATCCTGGGTACAACCGAACAAAAAAGAAACTTGGACTTGCCCTCTGATCACCCCAGCTCTGTAGCTCTCTATCTGTGCTTTTTTCTGTGGCTGCCTCAAGAGCTTGAAGCTTCTCAGCTGATGATTATTAGGCTGGCCTTTGGGCTGTGAAGACATGTGGAACAGTTTGGGCAAACACAAAGGGTACAGATAGTTCCTTTTCTTTACACAACAAGTAATAGATCCACTGGAATATGAGCGCTTCCTCCACCCACTTCCATCAATTCATTGTAGGTTTTTTTCCTTCTTCTTCTTTCCAGTGCTCTGTGTATATATCAGCTTTAAAGGGAAACTTTAAGTCTGTAGGTAGTCAGAAGGGCAGGCACAGAGTTCCACTGATTAGAGGGAAAATTCCTCTGAAATTTCAAATCAAATAGCCTAGACTGTTTCTCACAGAATTTTCTTGAAACTGGTTTGTTGTTGTTTTAAATGAGTTTTTTTTTTTTTTTTTTTTTTTTTTTTTTTTTAAATTGAGACAGGGTCTCCCTGTAGCTCCAGCTGTCCTGGAACTCACTATGTGAAAATAGTGTCAAGGGCTGGGAATGTAGCTCAGCACTTTCCTAGCATGTTCAAGTCCCTGGGTTCAAGCTATCCTTTACACTGTTGTAAAAACAAAACAAAAATTATTCCATTACCACAAATGGATAGATGGATGGGTGGGTGAGTGAGTTTATCCTGAGGAGACTGGAGTCCAGGAGTTTGAAACCAGCATGCAAGATGATGAGACTCCATCTCAAAACAAAAACAAAAACAAAAAAAACCGAAACACAAATACACAATGGGAGGGGAGGATATGTTAAAATTAAATTCTGGAAGTTTCCGAAAACTGACCTGAGAGAACACAGTGGTCCTCATTCTTGCTTCTGGATATTTATTCTCTACCATGGGCACCAAAGGCTTATAAGGAGCTTAGTCAGTATCCAGCACATGGATCCTCACTTCTGTAATTCATAAACAATTTAGACTTAGCTAAATTCATGCCCTCTAAGGTGTTCTCCATTCAAACATCTCAAAAGGTCAGTTTTCGCCATAGCAATATTAATTTGGCCTGGTTTCTGGGTCTGCTACTGCCTGTTGCTACCCAGTTAGTATTGTGGCCATAGGCAAGTCATTTAGCTTGCCTCTGCCTTGGGTTCTTTAACTGTATAGTGTGAGAGCTAAAGGACGGACAGCATCAGGTGACAGCATAGGAGAGTATGAGCTGCAGACAGACATACTCCATAGCTTCCTGAGGGGTTCCTGACCCTCAGGTTGGGAGGGGAAGAAGGTGGGAAGGGAGTGTCTTAACAGTATACATGATTTTGGTCTTCTGAAGTGCTATTGTTTAAAGGGTTCCTCAGGAACTTTTTTTAGTAAATAGGATGGTTCTTTAGGCACAGTGGGTAGGTAGGAGCACAGGCTAAGACTAAGTTGTAGGTCATGATGATAGAAGCATTCTTAGATACAGGAGAGTTAAGACATATTTTGACTATAAACAAACCTCATAATCTTATACCAGCCATAGTAGTGCATGCCTTTAATCCCAGCCCGCAGGAGGATCTCTGGGCTGGGACTAGGGAGACCCTGTCAAAAACAAAAACAAAAAATCTCTTAGTAGTAGCTTTGGTGAATCTCTGGAAGTTACAGGTCCACAGCTAGGAAAGGAGGAAGGCCAAACACAAAGGTCAAACAGGCTTCAATCCTAAGCGGACTTCATGCCTATTTTAATTTTCTCACTTGCAATATCTCTGTGATAAAGGAATATTGTCTATGTAGGCAGTCACAGCAAAATTTGCGAATGGTGCTAATAGTGAGAGACTTCAACCAGACACTAGTCAAGGGAGCCTTTCTCTCCCCACAGCCCTTTAATTTTCTCTGTCTTTCTGTCCAGCTTTAAGGATTTTCAGAGAGCTCCGTGCAGCTGAGGTTGGTAACTGCTCCACACCCCAGAGTGCTGGAAGATGGGGTTTTTATTGCATGTTATACACTCTTGATGAAGAAAGGAAACAGGACAGTGTGGGCCCTAACTTATTTTTTAATTTGATGTTTCTAAGCGTTGGCCAGTGAGCTCTGTCTCTTACCAAACACACGCAACTCCGTTCCTCTAGGCAGCTCTCTTGCCTGCTGGGCTTAGGGAAATCCTCTGTTTGGGTGGAATTTTCCATGACTCTCAGCTCTGTACCTTTAGCCACAGAGCTTTTCTTCAGTGTGCCTGCCTGTGCTGTTCTCTCTCTCTCTCTCTCTCTCTCTCTCTCTCTCTCTCTCTCTCTCTCCTCTCTCTCTCTGTATTAAACCTCCCTTGGTGTTTGTGTTTGTGTTTAATACTGTAGTCCTAAGGACAGATATGAGAATGTCCTCTGAATTAAGTTTTTGTTTGTAAAGTGAGTCAGCTGAGGTATCTGTTTTGTCCTAGTTACCTCAGGTATAATGTTTCCTGTCACAAAATCACCTTTTGTGGGATAGGGAAGGCAGATCCCTCATGTCTGTAGGCACCAGCTTCTGAGGCTGTGCTTGCTGGCTGCTTCTCTGTTGGTGATCAGAATCAGCCTTTTGAGCCTGTGATTGGAAGGGTTCCAAAAATGGTGACAAATGGAGGCGACCCCAACCCAATAAAGGCCTAGTCGGGTTCCTCTCCTACAGGAGAATTTAAAAGACTTCCATAACCCTCTGTCTTCCTTTCCTTAGCAACTCCCAGAGCCCATGCAACAGTGTAGCATGAGATTATGCCACTAAAATTCATCCTCCCAGGGCTTGTTCTTCAGGATACTACATCTCCACCCTAATCCTCCTCTTTGCAGAGAACTAAGGGACTCCTTTGTTTTGAATAGGACCTAAAGGCAAGGTGGCTGATTTCTGCCTCATTCTGGTCTCCTTGAACATTATCTCCTTTCCTGGCTATCCCCCCTCACCATTTTCTGTGACTTTCCCTTTTTCCTTCCCTTTATAGCAGTTATTATCTGACATTGTGTAGGCTTTATGAGGTTGGTGACATTCCATCTTCACCGTTGTGCTCCCGAGGCCTGGAACCTAGTAATTGCTCATTAAATATTTGTTCATAAGTAAAACAGAATGGTCAGATAGACAGACCCATGGGTACCACCTTTCTTTTTGTTCTTTGCTTTGGTCTTAATGCTCAGTGGTTCTCAAGTTTCATTGTGCATGTGAATTACCTTATCAGATATAAAAACTCAATTTGTTCAGAACTTTCTGAACAGAAGAAAATTTTAATGATAACTGCTATTTTAGCTTCTGAGATGAGACCCTTCCTCTTAATTAGTCGTACTTCCTCTTTAATTGATCTGTAATTGAGAGGTTTGGGTCGGAATACAGAGGTTTACCTTGTTATTTAGATTCTGAAGTAAGCAGCAGAAGTTCAGTGTTTACTGATCCTGCTTTGTTGGGAAACCACAGAATGTTTTAGCATATTTTAGTGGTGATGGTGGTTAGAGAAGAGCCTAAGTAGTGGTCTATGTGGAAGCTGATAGGCTGAAATCAAACCTTGGCTGTACCCCTAAAATTAGATGTGCCACTTAAGTTGTGGGCTGTAACATTTGCAGACTGTATAAAAGAAAATCTTTTTTTGGCCAGGCACAGTGGTGCAAGTCTTTAATCTTTGTACTTGGAGAGGCAGAGGCGGGTGGATCTCTGTGAGATTGAGGCTAGCCTGGTTAGTTATATAATGAGTTTTAGGTCCACTATGGCTACAGGGAGACCGTGTCACAAAACAAAACCAAACAAGCAAACAAAACAAAAACCTGCCTGAAGTTGCAATGGTGATAAACGGTGGGGAGGTTGAAAGACTTGATGGTAAAGGTATCCTGGATTTGTGACATCTCAGGTACTGGGCAAGGTAATGACCTAGCTCGGCTGCTTTGTGGATTGTCTCAAAATGAAGGCAAAGTAGGACTGGGGAGATGTTTTCTTACTGGATGTCTCCTAGGAGCATGACATAGTGAAGGCGTGGTCTGAAAGGAACAGAGTCAACTTTTACTAACGGGTGTATGAAAATGATGATGTTCCGGCTGATTCAAACTTTTGCTTTTGTTCCTCTCCCCATCAACTGTTTAGTTGGCTGATTGCAATTCTGGCCCAGCTCAACCCTCTCTTTGGACCACAATTGAAGAATGAAACCATCTGGTACCTGAAGTATCACTGGCCTTGAGGAAGAAATGCTCCACAGTGCGGCACCCAGGTGATTATACCTGTGACCTTCCACAGCAGTCAGCCTGTGAGCTGGTGTGCTTGCCAGGCCTTTTCCTTCAGAACTTTATGACCTTTTCATTGGTGGGAATAAACTGTTTCTTTGTTAATCTGATACATTCTATTAGGCACTAGATGTTAAGGTCAGAAAGGTGGGCAAGGAGTGACTATTTATGACTAAACTAGGCCCAAGATAATTGTGTATAGGTTCTGGATTGGCAACATTCCAAACTCTTCACAGTCACTGAAGTGCTAACCAGTTGGTCAGCCTTGCAGGAAGTTCAGTTCAAGATGTAGGATTTTTCTGGGAACTTTTGTTCACACATTTATGTTTGCGTACCCATATATACCTTTTGTTTGTTTGTGTGTGTGTGTGTTTGTTTGAAACAGGGTCTCACTATGCAGCCCTGGCTGGCCTGGAACTCCCCCCCCACCGCCTCCTGAATGCTGAGACTAAAGGCATGCACTACCTTGTCCAGCTCACACACACACACATATCTTACACACACACTACTGCTACAGAAAGATATTCTTATGCTGCTCTGTGTCTGTTTTCACCAAACATGCTAGAGATTATTGGGTACTAGTTTGTAGATACCTTCTTTATCTCCTACAGACATTGAGATATTGGGGCATAGAAGGAAAACCAACTTTGACTTAGTTTACTCTGCTATTTCTTTCATAGCACAGGTAACTTTTGACACCACAGAGAGGGTGGAGCAGGTCCCCATACATTGAAGCAAGCAAGCGAGTGAGCAATTCTATAGTAGATAACACTTGAGTGTCCTTTAACACAATTAGTTCTGATAATGTCTACCTGGAGATAGTATCAGACCCCACAAGTTGAGAGCTCAGTGCCCAAGGCTGCCTGCTCCCCACTTTCAGTGCCACTTGCAAACCCCAGTTTGTTTGACCTGTGCTTTTGACCCATCAGCTATAAACTGGGATTCCAACAATCACCTCCACAGGCTGGGTTTGGGTAGCTTCCAGAACCTGGGAAAACCTGTTTCCTGGTTTATTATAATGGATTTTAGAAAGGATACAGACAAACCGATGCATCACTCGAGGCAGATGTCAGAATGGTCCCACCCTCCAGGAATCTCTGTGGGTTGGACTTCTGTGGGATCTCCCAAGACCTTTTCCTCTGGGGTTTTATGAAGATTTCATTGTATTTGTAATGCTAATAGTCTGCATGGGAAATCCCAGCAAGGTTTGTCTTGGGGGTTGGGATCTCTCCACAGTATTCCTCCCTGCTGGATTTGGGGCAAAACCACCTGTAGCATGAAGTGTTGGGATTTATTATCATGCAGGGTCCTCAGAGAATTTCTTTATGGCCAATTCCAAGGTGGAAAGACAAGATTAGAGTTTTCTGTGACCCACCTTGGGAAGGGAGTTTTGAGACAAAACCATGGAAGAAAACAAATAATTACCATAGGTTATCCCCCATCTTTTGCTGTTATTGACAAAGCCACTTTAGTTCTGTTTTTTTGTTGTTACTCTGAGGATTGGACTCAGGATTTTACCTCACACGTACTAGGCAAGTGCTCCACCCCTGAGCTGCAATCCCTTTTTGTTCTTGTTTTGAGTTAGAGCCAAGTCTAGTGTAGCCCAGGCTGTCCTTGAACTTCTGATCCCCCTACTTCAGCCTCGTGATGCTGGGATTACAATTATGTAACACCACACCCAGCTACAGTACCATGTTATGCATCATAAACATTTTGTTTTATTTTTCTGGTGATATCTATGCATTCCAAAAATATTTGCATGCTCTGTATGGTATGAAGGATGGATTTCCAAGAGGCTGCGGCTCTGAAGAGGTTTGCGATCTGTTGGGAAGGCACAGTTCAGTCATACCTGGGGAAAGGTAGACACTACAAGGTATTGTGTGGTTGAAAGTCTTTCCTTTTTATAGACCTTTCTGCTACTGTTTTGACTCAGCCATGTCCTTATTTGGGGTTCCAGTGTCATAGTTTTCTCTTGTTTAAACTCAGCTGCTCCTGCCATGCCTGGACAGCCCCCCCCTTCCTTTGCATCCCCTTAGTGATTTGATGTTTCTCACTCTGCAGGCACCAACTCCATATGTCATGGCAGTGGCTCCTCCCCTGGTCTCCACATTTCTGCCATGGGTTCTCTGCAGAATACCATGGGGCTCTTCTTGAGACAGACTGCCGCTTGCTTCGCAACTCTTGAGTAGTTTCAGGCTGTAGTGGGCTCTACTTGGTTGTTTTCTTAACCTGAGATCTCTGATTTTAATGGCAAAATGCTCCTTGAAATGCAGTGTAAAATGTAAGTACACAGCTTTTGTCAGGGCCATCCAAGGTCCCTTGAGACACAGAACCAGGAAAGTTAGGAACAAGAACATTCAATCTCAGTATGTCCAGCTCTCCACCTCAGCCCTAAGGCTGTCCTGGTCTGCCCAGGAGCCTCCTTTTCATCTTTTCCTCCCACTCCTCTGCTCCTGAGCTGCTGGGTCCAGGCCTGCCATTTTCATGGTCTGGCCTAATTATCTCCCTTAGTCCTTCCTGCCTCTCACTACTACTGTATAACTCAGCAGACCAGCAAACACTGCTGTGCGTGGGACGAGCTGCCTCAGCACTGGCCTTCTCTTAATGTGTCCGATGTTTCTCTTTCAGGGCTCAAATCCTTCTGCTTTCTTTTTGGCCACTCTGTTTCAAAGCAACTTTTTTCTTTAGTCTTTAAAGACATTTAGTTCTTCAGTTCTTACCATTCATTTAGGACATTGCCCTAAATTGTTAAATATGTATACCTTTACTTGGCTTACCCTTTGTAGTTAGTTAATCTATAAGACATATATTTCCAGGTTATAGGAAGAAAGAATTAGTTGGAATATTTATCTGAAACAATAAAAAAAGATAAAAATTAAAATTAGAGAGAGAATGAGAGCTTCACATCCCCCCCTTCCTTTCTTTTCGTTTGTTTTATTTTGTTGTGACAGGATCTCCCTGTAGCCCCAGCTGGAACTTACTATGTAGTCCAGGCTGGCCTCAATCTCACAGAGATCTGCCTGCCTTTGCCTCCCCAGTGCTAGGTTGAAAGGCATGTGCCATCAGGCCAGACTCCAGCTTAGTATTTTTACGTTTTCTTCACTCTCTGGTCCCTCAGCCCATTGCCATTCTCAGTTTATTGTTGGTAACCTTAGTGATTCCTTTGTTTACAAAATGAGAATGTGGATGTGTGATTGACTTCTCCAGTTCTGCCCTTAGCCAGCTATTTCCAATCTGAGGAATTATGTACTTCCAATGGACTCCAATCAAGCCACTGGGCCAAGCCTTGTCGCACAACACTTAACTGCAGTTAAACTGTTACCATGACGGTTGAGTGAAAATCATCCCCTATTTGTGTGTGTGCTTTCAAAAGTGAAGACTGTTTTTCCCCCTTTGCGATTCTTTGTCAAAAAAGACCAAAAGAAGGGCTAGAAAGATGGCCCAATGGTCAGGAGTGCATACTGCTCTTGCACAGGACCTGAGTTTGTTCTTAGCACCTACATTGGGCAGCTCACAACTGCCTGCAACTCCAGCTCCAGGGAATCTGATGCCCTCTTCTGGGGCCCCAGGGCACCTATACTAACACATGTATGTACCCACACACAGACATAATTAAAAATAAAGTATTTTTTTAAAACAGCCCAAAGAGTAAGGAAGCTTATCAGTATGCCCTTCATAAAAGATTCACACAGAAACATTCACATTCTCATTCAGGTGGGGCAGAGGTCTGCAGAACAGCTGTTGTGTCAGTGTGAGCTGGGAACATCAAATGTTCCCAAGGTTTTATGAGGCTTGGCTCTGGTAATTGCCACCCTTGGCCTGATGTTATTTTCCTAGTGCATTGTAAAACAGTCCTTGAATTATTCCACTTTCTTTTTGCGTGTTTGTGGTGCTTGGGATTGAACCCAGGACCCTGAACATGCTAAGCATGTACTCCATCATTGAGCTGCAGTCCCAGGTCTGCCTCTATTTCCATCTTGGGTTGAATGTGTGTGTTTGTAGTATCCTGCAGTGGGACTCCACCATTAATAGCTGCTTTCTGGCTGGGTGTGGTGGTGCATCCGAGGCCGGCGGATCTCTGTGAATTCAAGGCCAGCCCGGTCTACATAGTGAGTTCCAGACCAGCAGGGGCTACAGAGACCCTGTTTCAAAAAGACAAAAAACAAACAAACAAACAAAACCACAAATCAAAAAAATAGCTGCTTTCCATGAAGGTGGTTGGGCTGCTCCCTCCTTTAAGCCAGTAAGACCTAGCAGCAGGCCCTTGTCCTCTTCTGGGTCCTCTTAGACCACAGGTCTGGGAAACCTATGGTGTAGTTTCGCCACACTGAGCTCATATTCTCCCCTCTGTGCCCACTGATTTGGAAAGCCCTTGCAGAGCCAGATCTCCCTGCATGTGTTTGACCACCAGCTTTGTTATACCTGCATGCCACAATCCATGTTTTGTCTGAATTTAGCAAATACGAGGCCCCCAAGCACAGACACCTCCTACGCTCTCTACATTTAACCCCTGGCAGTTTTCACACTTGGACAAGTTGTATGTTGTCCTTTGCTCAAGCCTGTGTGCAAATTGCCTAGAATACTTAATTTTCATTTTATATTCCTTTTTTAAATTTCAGAAGTAACATGTAGACACTGTAACAGTTCACTTTTCTTTGGCTGAGTTGTGAATAGAATGCATGACTAGGCACATGCTAGGCAAGCTCTCTACCACTGAGCTGCAACCCCAGTACAGCATAAGCTTTACGTAAAGACCCTTATACCAGTACTGTGAACAACTCAGTGTGTGGAGATGCCTGCTTTAAATATTTGCCATTTCCATGTGGTGTCACGTTGTAAGGTTAAGCTCCTGAAAAAAGAAGTTGCTAATTGGTACCTATACTTGTAGTTCGAACGGGGAGCCGCCTGAAAGGCTGCCAGGAGTCCTGAACAAGGCCAGGAGCCTGCAAGGGAAGAGCAGAGGGTGGCCGTATTGGTGACCAGCTGCCTTGCTGTGAGAGGGGAAGTAAGGAGCATAGGAACTTATAAATTCCAGCTCCATCATGTTAGTCAGCTTCCTTCTTCCTGCTTTTTGTAACACAGTCACATTGCCATTTGTGCAGTAAGGTCCTTGGTCATTTGACTTACTGTAAAATCTGCCCAAACCTGTCTGTAGTGAGTCCATTCTTCATCTGAGCATTTATTGAACACCTCCTTGTTTTAAAATACTGGCCTGGTTAACTTTCTTTCATGTGGGGATGAGGCAGATTTCACTGCGTTGCCCAGGTTGGCCCTACACTCTCCATCCTCCTGCCTCAGTCTCCTAGGTACTAAGATTGCAGGCATGTGCCAGACACTATACCTGGCTTTTGATTAACTTTCTTGACACTAACTATATCCCTACTTCTTTTTTATACTTTATTTTAAGGCAGAATCTAATTTTCCCAGGCTTGTCTTATCTATAGCCAGGCCTTCAATTTGTTTTTGTTTGCTAGTTTTGTTTTTGTTTTGAGACAAGGTCTCACTATGTAGCTCTGCTTGGCCTGGAACTCACTATAGTAGACCAAGCTGCCCTCAAACTCATGGAGATCTACCTGCCTTTGTTTCCTGAGTGCTGGGATTAAAGGCTTGTGTCACCACACCTGGCTAGGGCCTTAGACCTGTGATCCTCATGCCTCAGCCTCCTGAGCAGCTGGGGTTTCCCACCTGTGTCACCAGGCTACTTTCTGTTCTCTTTCTAGAAGGGATGAGGACTTAGAAGTTAGAGGACCTTGAGTTACCAAAACTGTTTTGTTTTGCAGGTCACAAAGAAAATGCCTTCTAGATACAAAGCCACCTCCACACTCAGACCACCTTCTTCGACAGCCTACTTTGGGCATGAACTGCCTTACACTTGAAGATCTTAATGCTGCGGTACCAGGATTTTTTTCCTTCACCTTTTTTACACTTTGATGAATGACGTGCCTACTTAGCTGACTCTAAAACATGTCTACACTCTTCTGAGAGAAAAGGTGCTGTTCTGAGAACTCTGTTACTCTTGCCTTGGAACCTGAGGCTTTGAAGATTGTTCTTGTCAGCTCACAACACGAGAGTCAGCGATGTGCTTTAAAATTGCTGCAAGATAACACTCGACAGGACAGGGAAGAAAGCACACTCAGAGAGAAGAGCTAGCTCAGATTTACACCAAACTGTATTTTCAGAATGAAATTCTTACCTCTACCACCTTTTGGAATAAATTATTTTTCTGCTTTCTATGGAAATCTGGCTCCAGTGTTTAAAAAAGCTCAATTTTCTAAGCTCTTCTGTCTCTAGATAATGCCTTTTAAAAGTGAGGTTGTTGTCTAAACTTAGGTTGGATGTATAAACCGTGCCCTGTGGTTTGAGACATCTGAAGAGTCTGGTAAGTACTTTTCTTGATCATTCAGTAAGCATCTGAGTGCCTACTGAAGGCAAAGCACTGGAGGAATCAAAAGATGTGAAACTGGGGTCCCTGCACGTTCAAGAGCTCATGGGTTGTTTGGAGAGAGGTAGTCGGTATGCATAGGACTATGCAAGGCCATGTCTGACCTTTGTTTGTTATGCTGATGAGGCATGGGTACATATAGCTAGTCCTGCTCCCCTTGGGGCTGAGGAAGGAGGGTCACTTGAGCTTGGGAGTTGATAGCCCAGGCATCACAGTGAGACCCCATCTCTTTTTGAAAAATACAAAAAAGATTACAGTGATGAGCAAGTTGAGGGTAAGGTCCAAGACAAAACAGCAAACATGGCTCCCCAGTCAAACACTCTCAGAAATAAGACAAAAGAGGTCTACTGGTTAAAAGCTTGGGCCAGGGGGCAGTAGCTTTATGTTTTAATAGCATCTGAATAATTCACTAATGTAGGAGCTGTATTAGTTTTGTGGTACTGGGTTGAACCCAGGGTCTTACATATACCCTGTTAATTTTAAGAAACTTAAAATAGGTTTTTTTTTTTTACCAGCCCACAGCTTTTTGACAGCCAGCCAAAAATGATTTCCTGTTTTGCAGTTTGTACTTTTCTATTCCTCCCGAACTCTCTGAACTCATTACTTGGCTATTCTTAAGACCAAAGACAGTTTCAAGTTGAAGTGTCTCTCCTGCTTTCTTTTTTATTTTGACACAAGGTCAAAGTTGCCCAGGCTGGCCTTGAACTTAATGATCCTCCCGCCTCTCCCTCCCGAGTTTTGGAATTACCAGATTTCTGCGTTCCTTTTTTTGTTTTCGTAATATGTGTCCAAATACCCCCTACCCCCGATCCTGGGGAGTGAACCTAGGGCCTCACATCACATTTGGTAGGTGAGGTATCTACCTCTGAGCTATATTTCTAGTCCTTTACTTTCATTTTGAACTGAAAGTATTTCTGAAAGTTGAGCTGGGGATGAAGCTTAGGGAAGAATGCTTGCCTAGCATGTGCAAGGCCCTAGGCTCCATACTCAGCCCTCCCTCTCGGCCCCTCCCCCCAATAGGATTTAAATTAAAAAGAAATTATATGTATGAATGTTATATCTGCATGTATGTAAGTGCACCCATGTTGTGCAGTGCCCACAGAGGCCAGAGAGGGCATTGGATCCCCTGGAACTGGAGTCATGACAGTTGTTAGCTGCCATGTGGGTGCTGGGATTTGAACTCGGGTCCTCCACAAGAGCAGCCAGTGCTCTTAACTGCTGAGCCATCTTTCCAGCCCTAGATTTTTTTTTTTTAATAGAGTTAGGCTACTCCATACTTTAAATTTCCAACCAAAGAGCCTCGTTTGTTTTTTTATTTTAGAAAATATTTTCTACTACATTGATTTATTTTCGGAAGGGGACACACATGCCACAGTGTTTGAGTGGTGGTAAGAGGACAGCTCTACCATGTCAGTCCCAGGAATGGAACTCGTGCCCTCGGCCTTGGCAGCAAGCACCTTTATCTACTGAGCCATCTTGCCAGCTCCCAAGTTAATTGTCAGCTCTCTTTAGTTAATTTCATGGAATCTATAAAATACTGAGATTGAAGTCGAAGGTACCATGGGGGTGTAGATGTACCCCACTGTTTAGGAAAGAATCTTGAGTTCGGACTGGGAGGCTTGCTCACCCAGTGTAATGCAGCTGGTCAGAGGCAGACTGGAGAGCAGGATCTAGGCTTTCTAATGTTTACCCAAGGGCACTTCATTCCTGCCTACCCTGCCTCATTCAGATTGGCCATCAGCCAGCTCCTGGTCTCTGGTACATGGGAGGAATTCTGCTGATGCAGATAACCTTGCTTTCTTCCTCTGGAGCGACTTATGTGACCTTTGATCTGTACTTGTCATCTAAGCAGTGCTGGCGGTTACTGCAGGCCACAGAAGGCCGCCACTGGCTTTGAGCTTTAACCACTTGGAGCAGTGTGACTCTGATGTAGCCACGTCCACAGATTCACTGTGAGGCCTTGAAGCCTATTATCACTGGGGATCAGTTTACCTTCCCAGCTCCCAACATACGCTCTTTCCAGCAGATGGCAGCTTCTGCTTCCTTGATGGCTTTTAGAGACAGGGTCTCCATGCGCCACCAAGGCTAGCCTCTGCTATGTTGGCTTTAGTGTCTCTGAGGCTGTGTCTTTCAAATGAGCATCACATTTGCTGTCTGGGTAGCTCCACTTGGCTAGGTATAGAACCTTAGCTGTGCCATGCCTCGAGGCAGTGGTGGAGGACAGCTTTGGGGACTCTTATCATTGATGACCATGGTTTAATGGCAGCACAGTTGAAGGTATATAGCTTTCAACACTGACCGATCCAAGTCTCTGAGTGCTGTCTTGTTCTGATGCTTTGTAAGATCCACCTGTACATGTCTTCCTTGCTCTAGGTGAGTCACAGATCGGGAAGGGACCTGCTTATGTTGCTTATTTGCTCTTGATCTCCTCTGTCATTCGTTGGGATAGTTTCTTGCAGTCACCAGCAAGGACGGTGGCAGGAGTGTTGGCTTGTGCTGATAACGGCAAGGATGACAAGTGCTGGGGCTGGACTGTGCCAGCCAGGTTTGAATGTTTCTGCAGTAGTGACCATCGTGCTGCGGAGCCATTTCGGGAAGTAAAAAGCTGGGATGAGGCAGCAGCCCAGGCTTAGACCTACCTTTGTCTCAGACCTGCTTGATCTCCATGAGGCCTCATGGCTTCAGTGTAAAGCAGGAGACCAGGATGTCTGTGTCAGAGATTCCTTTTGACCAAACTGGAGATCGGAAGTGTCTCAGAAAGACCAGGCACTGTCATTGTGTCATGGCTTAGCTGTGTTAACTATGGAAATGAAGGGATAATGAATGGAAAATCAATTCCAATTTTGAAGGGAAGCTTGGTAAGTTCTATTTGCCCAAGAAGTCAGTTTATCCTTTTAAAATTTACTTTTTTAAAAGTTAATTTTATTTGTATTTTATGTATAGGAGTGTTTTGCCTATATGTATGTAAATGTACCATGTACGTGCAGTGCCAGTGGAGGACAGAAGAGGGCTTTGGATCCCCTGGAACTGGAGTTGTTAGCCACCACATGGGTTCTTGTTACTGAACCCTGGTCCTCTACAAGAGCAGCCAATGCTCTTAACTGCTGAACCATCTCTCCAGCCCCAAAGTCAGTTTATTCTTGGGTGTCAGTTTCCTCATTTATGAAATTTAAATTTTGTCTGTTTGTTTAATGGTGCTGGGGATACACTCTGCTCAACCTTGCCCCCCTCCCTTTTTTTTGTTTTGTTTTGAGACAGAGTCTCCTTGTGTAGCCCAAGCTGGTCTTGAACTCAGTGTCGTCCTGCTTCAGCATCCTGACAGCTGGGATTACAGGTGTGAGCCAATACATGCACCTCATACCTGCCTTTTCAATAACATAAAAGTATTACCAAATGAGAGAGTGATGATGTGATTTGTAAATCATAACAACACACAAGGGATATTTTCCAAGTAAATACGCAAATCCTCGGGCATGCCACACTTCTTTTCTATTAAAGCAGGTCTCAGAGGGACAGCAAATTGATTTCCTACATAGACTTCCCTTCTGATTAGTTATTTTATTTCTAGGGTTACAGAAAAATCAATACAAAACACCTGTGCCAGGCTGCGCTCGGAGCTGGGAAATAATCATAGCTCAGAGGTTGTGCCCCACCCTTCCTGCCTGGGAGGTTCTGTCAGTTCTCACACCAGCACTGAAGTATTTCTGGCCTGCTTTGGAAGATCCTGCCAGAGGATAGGTTGCTGAGGATAGAACCAGGGCCTTGTGCATGCCAGACAAGTGTTCCCACCCAACTACACCCCTAATCTTTTCTGTGTTTTCTTTAAACATGGAAGGATGTCCATAGCTTTGCTCACTGGCCCAATTTGATATTTTATGTGCTTTTGTTTCTTGGATTGGCATACACCTTTGTTCATGTATCTAGCTTCTTAGCAGTGGAAAGTATTTGGCTGTGATAAAGCAAATTTAGAATTTAGAAATTATATTTCTCTGTATGTGTGTGTCTATGTCCTCAAACTTGAGGGAGTCCTCCTGTCTTACCTTCCTGAATGCTTGATTTCAGACATGGCAACCACACCTGACTTTTGAAATTATGAGTTGTTGCTCAGAGTAATTGAAAAGCCTTTGGATTTCATCATCCCAGAGTTAGAGTCCATGGCTAGAAAGATGGCTCAGTGATTAAGAGCACTTGCTGCTTTTAGAGAGGACCTGTGTGTTCCACTCCCAGCATCCAACCATCTGTAACTCCAGTTCAGGGGATTTTCTGCCCTCTTCTGGCCTGCATGTGCACCAGGCACACATAGTGCACATACATACATGCAGGCAAACACTCATACACATAAAATCTTAAACAAACAAACAAAAAAAAAAGCCTTAAAGGAGTCAGTGCTGTGTTTTATCTAGGCATTTTAGAATAACCGTACCTCAGACCCGTGTTTGGAGAACAGATGTATTTAGAATGAAAATGGAGACAAGTGGTGGGCACACATTATTTTTCACTCTGCATCCTTTCTGCAGCTTTCTAGTTAATTGGATGAACTTGTAGAAAAACCACATTTTTTAAAAAAAGAAGATGCAACACAAAATACCACCATATAAAGGATATTTATTGTGGAACAGTTGGAAACAGTATTGCTGTCTAATGTGAGGCTTATCAGGTAGACCTGGTGGTACACACTGACTCAGGGAGGCAATAAATGAGCTGTCAGCCATGCTGCTGATCCAAATGACAATCCTTTTTGATAAAACTATATCCCTAGAAAAGAGATTGAAAAGAGAGCTTCATCACCTTTGAGTA